TGTGTTTGCGACCCCCTTGTCGGGCCGGCCAGTGCATGTGCAGCCTGCAGAGTGGCAGCCCTGCCCTCACCCCCTGGCCCTGGCCCTGCTCCTGGGAGTGGGCACAAGGGCATGCTCCCCCACTTTTTGATTTGCACCCCCAACACCTTCCCTTTCCCCCTCCCTACCCCACCCCTTCCTCCCACACGCACTTACCTGCTGGGGTGGGTGTCTGGGTCTGTGCCTGCGTGTCTGTGTGTGTGGGTCTGGGGGGCTGTTGTGGGGGAGTGAGGGGCATCAGGAGGGATGAGGCGGCGGCAGGGGGAGTGCAGGGCACCAGTAGTGCTGGGGGGGGCTGGGGGAGGCCTTTAATTTTTATCATGGATTTTGGGTTTTTAATCAGAGAATTTGCAATTTTTAATCAGAGAAAACCAGGATCCCTGCTTATAAGGAGAGGCTGAGGGTACTGGGCTTATTTAGAGAAGGGGACTGAATAGCAGCCTTCAACTACCTGAAGGGGGCATCAAAAGAGGATGGAGCTAGACTCTCGGTGGTGACAGCTGACAGAACAAGGAACAATGGTCTCAAGTTGCAGCAAAGAAAGTTTAGGTTAGATATTAGGAAAAATTTATCTCACTAGGAGGGTAGTAAAGCACTGGAACAGGTTACCCAGAGAGGTGGTGGAAGCTCCATCCGTGGAGGTTTTCAAGACCCAGCCAGACAAAGCCTTGGCTGGGATGATCTAGTTGGGGCGGGTCCTGCTTTGAGCAGGGGGTTGGATTAGATGACCTCCTGAGGTCCCTCCCAACCCTAATTTTCTATGGTTCAATGATTCTATGAAATGCAATTTTTTAGCTCAAGATTCTTTCATCTTGACACTATTCTGCTGCCAGTAAATATCTGTAAAACCCTCTGGCAAAATGTCTTATCCTGCTTTACTGATGATCCACATAGAGGATGACAACCTACAAGTGCTGTCAATTCCCTGTTAGCTCAAGATGATCTAATCCAAAGCTTGAAAAGTCTGAAAGGAATCAACACTGCCACAATGGAATTTTTTTAAGACTTGGTAAAAAAAAACACCCACACACAATATGCAAACATTACACTTGCAAAATTAAGCATGCAAACAAAAATGAACGGAATTAACATTGCCTTATGCAGCTTCAGATTTATCCCCTTACACGTATGCCTCAGGACACAGTCTTTAAGTGATTTCATATTTCTTTCTGAAGCTATTGAACAGCTATTCAATATTTTATTTTATCCTTGTTCTTCAATGCGTGCACCCATGCCTTATGTACTACCCCCAACCTCTTAAGACAGCTCTGGGCTATTCTATGTTGCCAATCACTGCAGCATAAATGTTTTGCAACTATTAGTTTTTTTTCATAACATCCGGTGGGATGAAGAAGTGGCATTATCTACTTCTCCCTTTACAGATGGAGAGCTGAGACAGAAATGTCAGTCCAAAATATCCTTTAATTCTGAGTGCCCAATTTGAGGCACGGGGCTTGGTTTTTGAGGTTGGTTTTTTTTTGGTTTTTTGGTTTTTTTTTAAAGAGTTCTTAGCACTACATAGAATATTACATATTCAAGGTGCAACTGCCATCAACTTCAGTTATAGCTGTGGGTTCCCAGTTCAAATGGGACTCCAGGTTCCCAACCTGGACACTAAAAAACAAAGACTAAACAACTAAACCAACTATGAAAAAAACTGGTTCCAAGTGCCTTGCCTAGAATTGCAGAGGAACAGACAGAATTCAGTTCTCCAGGACGCCATTCAACTACTTTAACTATGAGACTATCCTTTCCGTTCCTGCAGTCACCTGCCTCATTTACTGCAGGTAACTTCCTTCAGTTACATATACCAGATTAATTCCCAGAAAAGGTCCATCCTATTCACTGAATGAGGCAGGAGCCCTATGGGAAAAAAAAAGAAATTTCTCTCATATTTAAAGACTGTATCACAACGCATACAGATAAGGAAGACAAGTTAAGGTTGTACAAGTAACCTTAATTCTGGCATTTCCTAATTTTTGAGCACTTGATTATGCAGCCTTAATGTTTTTCCATGGAGCTTTGTGTGCCATTATACATATCAGGATAGCCCAATGTTGCATTGGTCCGTTACTAAGGCTACTAGAAGCCACACAATGAGTACAAATAAAAGTCAGCACAAGATTGTATGCATTACAAATGGGTTGAACAATACTTACGATGGTGCTATATCAAGGTGGTTGATGCTATAGCCAGATGTACAAAAGCCTCCTAGTGTTGTTGATATGGTTAGGAATACAACAGCCAATGTATAGTCACAGCCTATGAATCCAGCAGCTACTAGAAATACAGCAGGTCCAATCATTCCTTAAAAACAAAAAATTATTATAAAACTTTAGCGTATCACCACTTAAATGACGATTAAATGTTAGCGTACGTCCTCTCTATGGCAAGTTACTTATTTATTTTTTTACAGGTACCATTTATGGCACTTCTACTGCCACCTAGTGTAAAAAATAGTGTAGTACTAAAATTACAAGGGGATTTTACAATTTTATGATCGTGATCAGAGAGAACCCTAGGGTGTCTATCACTGCATAAGCCTCCTGAAGTCGATGGTGGTCAGAGATGGAAGGGCAAGCTTTAACTGGATAAAAGATTTCAACATGAATCAGTTTTGGTAAACTCTTATAGCAAAAAGTGGCCTGATAAATTAATGGAGGCTGTCCTGTTACCTTTAAAATAAAGCAAGACTAGAGTTCTTTGACATGTGTGTTATGAACAAATAATCCAAAATGTAGCTTTTACACAAAATGGTGATAACTTCTGAAAGTCATGTATCTGGGGCTGGCAGCAACTTCAAGAGATTAGCTAGTTTAGCTTCCCTGAACTGAGGGTGGATCAAAAGAAAGAAGGGGGGTAAGAGTGCTCTGAAACCCCCATGGCTCAGCAAAGGCATTCGAGAATGCCTGGGGGCCAAAAGGGAGGCATACACCCGGTGGAACAAAGGGGCCATCACCAAGGAGGAATACTCCTCCTTGGCCTGTGAGTGTGGGAGGGCTATTAGGAAGGCCAAGGCGGGGGGGGAGCTCAGGATAGAGACCAGGATTAAGGACAACAAAAAGTCCTTCTTCAAATACTTTGGGAGTAAGAGGGCAACGGATAATGTAGGGCCCCTGTTAGACTCAAATGGTAATCTTGTGGCTACACCAGACAAGAAAGCCGAAATCTTTAACAAGTTCTTTGCCTCCGTTTTCTTGGACAGGGACCAGGACAGCTCTCCCACCACAGGTAGGGGCAATCTTGGGGATAGCACTGCCAGGCCTCGGGTCTGCGTAGAAGTGGTTAGGGATCTTCTGGAAGGGCTGGATGTTTTTAAATCTGCGGGCCCTCATGCCCTCCACCCATGGGTGTTGAAAGAGCTTGTGGGGGTCATTGCTGTGCCCTTGGCCCGGCTGTATGAGCAATCGTGGTCCACGGGCCAGATGCCTGGAGATTGGAAACTAGTTAATGTGGTCCCCATTTATAAGAAAGGGAGAAAGGAGGACCCAGGAAACTATAGGCCCATAAGCCTCACATCGGTCTTGGGGAAAATCCTTGAAAAAAATTATCAAGGATCACATCTGTGAGGGGCCAGCAGGGGAGATCATGCCCAGGGGAAATCAACATGGGTTCATCAAAGGCAGGTCCTGCCAGACCAACCTGATGGCCTTTTATGACCAGGTAACTAAATCCCTGGATGACAGTGCTGCTGTGGACGTAGTCTTTCTGAACTTTAAGAAGGCCTTTGACACGGTCTCTCACCCCATTCTCCTTCATAAATTGCGCAACTGTGGCATTGATGCCTACACAGTTGGATGGGTCAAAAATTGGCTGATGGGGCGCACTCAGAGAGTGGTGGTGGATGGGTCATACTCGACCTGGCGGGATGTGAATAGTGGGGTCCCCCAGGGCTCGGTCCTGGGGCCTACACTGTTCTACATCTTCATCAGCGACTTGGGACGAGGGGGTGGAAAACACGGTCCAAGTTTGCCGATAACGCCAAGATGTGGGGAGGGGTAGGGACGCTCGAAGGGAGAGAGGCTGCAATTAGATTTAGACAGACTACAGAAGTGGGCGGATGTTAATAGGATGGGTTTCAATGTGGATAAGTGCAGGGTGCTGCACCTGGGGAGAAGGAATCCACAGCACACACACAAGCTGGGGAGCTCCCCCCTTGACAGCACAGAGGCAGAAAGGGATCTTGGAGCCATTACTGACTCCAAGATGAACATGAGCTGCCAATGCCAGATCGCAGCCACCAAAGCCAACCGCACCTTGTCGTGCATCCAAAGATGCATCTCAAGCCCTCTATGCGACATTGGTCCAGCCTCAATTGGAGTACTGTGTCCACTTCTGGGCACCGCACTTTAAGAAGGATGTGGCCTGCCTTGAGAGGGTTAAGAGAAGGGCCACCCGCTTGGCTGGAGGGCAACAGGGCAGGCCCTATGAGGAGAGGCTGAGGGACCTGAACCTGTTCAGCCTCAGCAAGCTGTGATACAGTTCATATTAATACAATCTCAAATGTATTTTCAGTTTGCTTATAAAAATGCTAATACGAGGCAGTGTCAAAAGTTGTATTAAAAAAACAAAAAAGCAAGGGTTAGCACTTCCCTTTTACCACTAGGCCAGTTATCCTGACAAAGCAAATCCAATTTGTTTGACATTATTTTTGTCAAATTCACAATGGCTTTTTTTGGTCACAGAATTATCGAAAAGTAGGACTGGAAGGGACTTGCAGACTTCCAGATGTCACCTACTCCAACCCCCTGTTTAAGGGAGGATAATCCTGATCCAAACCATCCCACACAAATCCTTGTCTAACCCTGCCACCAAAAGCACCTTAATCTGCCAAAATTAAAGCAGAAGGACAAGGGTCGTTAGGATAGAAAGAGGCATCACTGAATGAAGCAGATCAGCTGTGCTGTGATGTGTCATCCCTTGACCTACCCTTCATGGTGCGGGACAAGGGGTGATGTTATCTCCCTGCTTTCCCTGCTCAGCCAGACCTATCCCTGGAGATCACCCAAGATGGATCCGGCTGAGTGAGAAAAAGCTCCTGCTCAGCCAGACCGAGAGCACAGCTCTGGCTGAACAAGAAAGCTCAGCCAGATCCACTCCTCTGCGATCAAAGAACCCCTTCCCAACTTACAGAGAGGCACCCCATGATTCCCTGGGGTGCCTCTCCTAAGTGAGGAAAGCAGGCAGGCGCTCTGGGGACTTGAGGGCTCCTCAAGTCCCCAAGAGAATCTGCCTGGGGTGGCAAGAGAGTACAAGCAGACTGAGCTTCTTGCACTCTCCAGCCACCTTTTAGTGGCAATGTTAGACAAGGATTTGTATGGGATGGTTTGGTTCAGGATTATCCTCCCTTGAGCTGGGGGCTGGACTAGGTGACATCTGGAACTCTGCAAGTCCCTTCCAGCCCTACTTTTTGATAATTCTATGACCAAAAAGAGCCACTGTGAATTTGACGAAGAGTATGTCAAACAAATTGGATTTCCTTTGTCAGAATAACTGGCCTAGTGGTAAAAGGGAATGCAACAGATGTGCTAACCCTTGCTTTTTTATTTTTAATACAGCTTTTTTTAATCCTGCTCACACTGCCTGTACTCTTCCCCCACACAGGTAGTAGACATCCTCCACAAAAAGTCACAAGTGTCTGTTACCAGTTCTGTTGTACCACTGGTTTTCTTTTATGTGGCACCACAAAAGGCATTGATGTCTATTTGCTCAGCATTTGCGCTGCCATAGTTTTTTATGGTGACACAAATGAGACATCAGGCAACATCTGTTTCAATCTTCAGCATCCTGCTGCTGCCATGGTTGTTAATATGCATCCGAAGAATCCAAGGAAGAGGGCCACACCCTCTGCTAAAACGCAAAAACCCCTAAAGTTTATACCAATCTAACCATGGGGTAAAATTCCTTTCTAATCCCAAATGTGACACTAACTGGAGACCCTCTAACCCAGAGGCTCTAAATCTTGAGCTCTGGCTATTGCCGCCAAATGGTTTTGAGGAATTCAAAAAACCATGATGCCTGTAGCAACGGGAAGGGAAAAAATTCTTCCTGGGCCCCATGTGGCAAACAACACACCCCAGAACATGGGAAAATCAAGAACACCCTGTTACCTGGGGACAGCAAGTATGACTCCATACATCACACTAACTGGACAGCCAGAACTTTTTTCTGTATCCCCACCCTTAAACTTATCCCTGTTTTAATTTTCTTTTATAACTAAGCTGGTTATGGAGTTTTGGTTCATTCTCTTACTGTCTAGCATGGTCCTCTCCAATATTCACCTGCACTAGGCTGCAGAGCTCCTCTTGCTATGTCCTAATGATCCACGTGAGAAGGGGCTGGGGCCTCCTGAGCTTCCACTGTTGTTATTTACACAGCACTATAGGCTCCTTTAGATCTGGGGTTGGCAATATTTTTGGGCAGAGTTCCAAAAACATTTGCAACCTCTACTTGAAAGATGTTGGCATGCCAGGGGAGAATGGTGGAAGAGCCATGAGGGGCCTGATCCTTATTGTGGCAGCGCAGGGCCCCTTCACCACTGTCCACCCTGAGGTGCATGTGCCAAGAAAATGCCTTCACATGATGCATTCTGGTACATGTGCTGGTGATTGCTGACCCCTGTCCTAGATCATACTCATAGATTCCATGGTCGGAAGGGACCTCAGTGGGCCATCTAGTCCGACCCCCTGCCCCTGGTAGGCAAGAAAAGGGTCACCAAACCTGGGATCATGCCATCCCAGCCAGGTGCCTATCCAGTCTCCTCTTGAAGACCCCTAAGAATGGGGCGAGCACCACCTCCCTTGGAAGCCCAGTCCAGATCCTAGAAAACCTGACTGTGAAGAACTTTTTTCCCAATGTCCAGTCTAAACCTACTCTCCAATAGCTTATGGCCATTGTTCCTTGTTATTCCAGGGGGTGCCCTGGTAAACAGATCATTGCCTACTTCATGTTGCTTTCCCCTTATGAATTTGTACGCCGCCACAAGGTCCCCTCTCAGCCTTCTCTTGGAGAGGCTGAAGAGGTTAAGGTCCCTTAGCCTTTCCTCGTAGGGCCTTCCTACAGGCCTCCAATCAGATGAGTGGCTCTTCTTTGGACCCTCTCCAGGTTGTCTGCATCCGGCTTGAACTGCGGTGTCCAGAACTGGACACAGTACTCCAGCTATCATGCCTAACAAAAGCTCATGCAACCTCTTTTTCAAAGGCTGCAAGGACAGAAATTCCATAACTTCCCTAGACAGTTTCTTCTACTATCTCACTGTTTTAACCATGAAGTTTTTCTTGATATCTGGTCTAAAAATACTTTGCTGCAACTTCCAAGCTACTGGTCCATGTCCTGTTCTCTGCAGAAAAAAGGTGTTCTCCCTCTTCTTTACAGCAGCCCTTCAGAAAATGTTTTAAATAATGCACAATTATTTCTGGATTTTTCACTTGGAGTTTCGCTAACTTAGATTTCAGCATTTTTTCAGAATTTCCCCCTTCCATTTCATTAACTACCAGATATTTTTGCTATATTTTAGTACATACAAAATATCATTAAACATTTTCTTGGGAACAGGCGACTAAAGTCAGTCAGGTACTGTAATCATACCTACCTATTAAGGTAAATGTTTTGCGAACACATACAGTGGACAAGTTCCGTTTTTCCCGCAAGTAATCAGCAATCTGACCAGACAAGATTATGCACACCCAACAGCCAAAATAAGGCAGTGCAGATAAAAGTCCATTCTGAAGAAAGAGATGAGATGACAGTAGTTAAAAACACTGAAATAAAATCCAATATTTTGAAAAAGCATTTGTATTCCTAGGTGATAACCAAAACTGAATCTTACTGAAAAAGGTCAAATGAGCCATGTGACTACCAATTCTTTTATGACAAAAAGCAATAGCTCTTTGATATTAAAGAAGGCAGGACATTACAAGGAATTTTTCCCCAAACACAAATGTCACAATTAAGAAGCTTATGACTGCATGAATATCATCCTCTCTCTACTACAAAGCTGACCAAGTTATTTGGTCCTAAGGGTTGGATCTAGGGTCTGGAGCTCCACCAGTTTAAAAAATGTTTTTGCAAATAACTATCATAGATAAGCCTGCAACTGTTTAAAGAGAAAAGAAGGAAACCTCTCCAATATGTACATAGACAAAGCTCTCTTCAGGAAATTCTAAAAGTATTTATTGTTTTTAAATACAATGGGTTATCAGCTGGATTGCTGAAATAAAGTCAGAACTTTTACTGCTAAGTAAAGTTTTGGAAATGACAAACTACCTCCTTAGAGACAAAATTAAAACTAGGACAGAGCACATCATCTCACACTTGTCTAGTGAAGCATCTGGTGTTAGACATGACTACAGACAAGGTACTGCATTAGATTGTACTGAATCTGATCAGTATTGACTTTAAATGTTCCTAAAATAAACTTATCAGTCAGTATTTTACAGTGTTTTTAATTTAAATTAACTGGAAAACTTTCATCAACTTTAAAACCAAAGAGGACTATGTTATTTGAGGCGACTTGTTTGATGTAGAAAGCCAGAAGTACTAGTGAACTCAAACATCTTGCCTTCCCATTTAACTTTATAGCTAATTATCCAAAACCAAAATTGTAATTTATAAAGGCTTTTGACCTAATTTTATACTGAAAGCAGATATTTAAATATCCACTGGATTGGGCTAGCTTTGTTAATGGCCAAGATGTATTTTATTTTATATTTGTACACTGGGTTACTAGATGCAAAATCTGGGAACAAGAGAAACTGCTGTATAACATTCAATTTCTAATTAGAGCTTACTAGAGTATTTGAACCAAACACAAATATCATTGCAAGACCTTTCTCCTAATCAACAGTAAAAAATGCTGCTCATTGATTTAGTCTTCTGCTTTCAAGTAATAAAAATATATAAAAATAGAAAAATCAAGTGCTAAAAGATGCACTCTTAACCCTATTTTTTAAAACACGTTCCCTTTGCTGTAGGCTTTGGACTGACAGATTATATAGCAGTTACAGCACTGCAGTTTAAATGTTAATGTAATTTCCAACAGAAAATTAATGCAAGAGATTTTTTTTCCAAATGTCATTCTCCTGATACTTCAAAAGCTACTAGTTCTTTAAAGGCCAGGGACATGGAAAAGATGAACTGTGTAACAGTATTGCTCTAAATATTAGCAAGCAGTGTTTTTTCAAAACTGCAGAATTAAAGGTTATGGTGGCAGATACCTCTGCCAGTTTATTCTGCCTGAGGAGGAGCACTTTAGAGTCCAACCAGGAAATCCAGACTCCTCAAATTCACAAATCTGGAAGGGGACTATGTTATGTTTTCCAAATCCTTATATAACTCTGAGCAGTTTTTCTTTGGGTCTATGCCTATACCTATCTAGGTAAACTATTTTAGGTGGGATGTTGGTGCAAACTCTCTAACACACTAGAGAAGCTAGCATATTTTGCTGGCTAGGGCACTTGCCTTGGAAACTAGTTTGTTCTAGGTCAGCCAATGTGGCTATGGGTAAGCAACCATACCCATTTCCTTTTGTGCTACCTTTTGAAGTTCCAGGAGAGAATCTGGATTCAAAAGGTAAATTGCTTATTTGTAACTTTAAAAAAATCCCTGTCTAACCAAAGATGACAACAATCACACTTAATATCTCTAGATGCTACTATAATAAAGAACATATAATTTGGATTTTCTTTTCCATTTGTTCAACATCAACCAATCTTGCTGTATGGTGCATATAATGTTTTCCATATCTTACCAATGACCTTTAAACAAACACATTTCCTCTATCAAACACTCTTTGTGGCTAAATAATTTCAATGTTACATAATGTTCTGCGAAGTCCTACCTTATATAGATGGCAGGGTAGATATATACCTTACAGGCTAACTAAGAGATTATATATATATATTTTGTTGGCACTGGATTTATGACCCAGATACCTTGTTCCAGGGAGACCCAAAACCCTCAGACTGACCATGACTTCTTCATTTGATAACAGGCAAAGGTTACTGATACACAGTGATAGCAGATGAGAATAATGCAGGCAAGGCAGACAGATTCTGCATCTACCAGTCCTTGAGCTGTCATTAGAGGGAAGGTACATCTGGCCAGCATGCCAGATCTCAGTTCACCCTGATGTTCTCTTTTCAATGTCAGATGTCAGCAGCCGGGAGGCTGGAGGCCGAGGCCGCCCCTGCCCTTCCCCCAGTAGGGTGGGTGAGATGGGCTGGTAGTATGCCCTTTGTCCATAGCAGCCTTGGGTTCCCCTCTTGAGGACCCTTTGCTGCTCTGAAATCCCTCCTTTTATATTCTCTCTCCCCACTCCCACGCTCCCAATGACCCTTCAATTCCTGGGCATCACTGAATGGTTTCCCCTGTGGTCACCATACTGTCCACGTTCTACCCTGTCAGGATATTTAATTGTTTCACAAACCATCACATGCACATATCCTAACTTGGTTGTTTACCAGGCTTCCTAATTTGGTCTGTTCCCCAAAGCCGGAAATCCAAGGGCCCTGCAGTTTGGCACCGTGACCTGGCGCCAATGCAGCAGAGTCCCTTATCTCCGTTACAGAACAGTGTAGTACATGTCTTCAATTTCTCAGCCTGTGTCAAACACAGTAGGCTTTGAAGGAAACTGTGTCACAAACAGGCTTTTAGAAATCAATTAACCCTTGTTATTGCTCTGGACCATTGTTTTAATGCAGTATCTACTTAACCTACAAGCCAATTCCAAAAGGCAAACCTCTAAATACCATTTTCTAGCCATATATAAGCACAAGCTTTTGTGAACTTGAGTTTATTTTGTCAGATGCTCCCTGAACTGCACTATATTTTTGTATTTTAGTCCAATATATTCTACAAGAATAAACTCTATTTAACCACTGAACTTGAGGGAAAAGAAAGAAGAAGATCCTTCTATGATCAGGTCACAAAATCATTGGATGCAGGTGTCGCAGTGGAAGTAGTCTTTCTGGACTTCAGGAAGGCCTTTGACACTGTCTCCCACCCCATTCTCATTAAAAAGCTAGGCAACTATGGCATTAATGACTACACAGTCAGATGGGTCGCAAATTAGCTGAAGGGCTGGACCCAGAGAGTGGTGGTGGACGGGTCATATTCGACAAGGAGGGATGTGGGCAGTGGAGTCCCCCAGGGCTTGGTCCTCGGGCCTGTACTGTTCAATTTCTTTATTAGCGATTTGGATGGGGGGGTCAAAAACACCCTGTTCAAATCTGCTGACGACACCAAGATTTGGGGTGAGGTGGGCACACTAGAAGGGAGGGACAGGATACAACTGGACCTGGACAGGTTACAGGGGTGGGCGAATGAAAATAGGATGGGATTCAATACTGACAAGTGCAGGGTACTGCATTTGGGCAGTAAGAACCAGCAGCATACCTATAGGCTGGGGGAATCCCTTCTCGTCAGCACAGTGACAAAAAGGGATCCTGGAGTCATTATTGATTCCAAAATGAACATGGGCCGTCAATGTGAGAATGCGGTCAGTAAGGCTAACTGCACCTTATTATGCATCCACAGATGCATCATGAGCAGGGCCAAGGAGGTGATCCTCCCCCTCTATGCAACACTAGTTAGGCCACAGTTGGAGTACTGTATCCAGTTCTGGGTGGTGCACTTTAGGAGGGATGTGGCTAGCATCGAGAGGGTCCAGACAAGGGCCACTCGCATGATCCAGGGACAGCAGGGCAGACCTTACGAGGAGAGGCTACGGGACCTGAACCTGTTCAGGCTTCACAAGAGAAGGCTGAGGGGGGACCTGGTGGCCATCTATAAAAACTTACAGGGGGACCAGCAGGGAATGGGAGAGACTCTGTTCCCCTGAGCACCTCCCGGAGTAACAAGGAATAACGGCCATAAGTTGTTTGACAGTAGATTCAGGTTGGACATTAGAAGGCAGTACTTCACAGTCAGGGTGGCTAGGATCTGGAACCAACTTCCAAGGGAAGTAGTGCTGGCTCCTACCTTGGGGGTCTTTAAGAGGAGGCTTAATAATTACCTAGCTGGGGTCACATGAGCCCAGTATTCACTCCTGCCCAGGGCAGGGGGAGGTCAGACTTGATGATCTACTTAGGTGCCTTTTGACCCTACATCTATGAATCTATAAGGAAATAAGCACACTAAAAGAAATGCATAAACATTCAGAAACAAATGTTTCCTTCCACTTAATCTTCCACTTACAGTAATCTTAGGTGGTGCCTGTAACAATAATAAGTTAACAATTCAAACAAGATTTGTTAGTTGATGTCAACCTTATGAGCAGACATTACAGTGTTAACAAAGATGCATACCTCCAGGAACATAACTGCTAACTAGCACTACACTATTTTAGAATTTTGCTTTCTTATGTCCCTTTAAAATTCACACCACTTCCAGAACATAGACTTTCACTTCCTTCCTCTGCCTGGACTGAAACATTAGGAGTTCTAATTCCTTACTTCCTTGTTTCATTGTGCTCTTCCTTTCTTCCTCTTTCCTCCACCCCCTTTTTTGATTGGTAGCAGCTTTCTGGAATAAGGAGGGGGAAAAAGTAAAGAAAAAACAAGCAGGGCATGGGGAGTGAAGCATAAAGTCGTTGGTTTATAGGTTTTCTACAATGGACCAAAGGCAAACTGGATGCACAGGGGATAGACACTTGCTAGGCTCATTTGACTTGACAAGTCAGAGATAATCAAGAAGCAAGACCAAGATTCCTGACAGAGTTGCCCATTTTAATTACTTTGCTTCTCTGCACAAAGCAGAAGAAAACTGAACCTGTATAGGAAATGGTTTGGATTATCTTAATTTCATCTCACCTCCTGCACATCAAACCTCAGAATCTCCTTCATATATGTAGGTAACAGTGTGAGAAGAGTGTAAAAAGTCCAGTTATAAGAAAAATGTGCCACAACAATAGCCCAGAGTGGAATAGACTTCAGCATAGGTTCCCATGGCACAGACTTCTGAGTAGAAAGCTAAAGAATAGAAAGGGAGAGTGGGAGAATAAATCAGGAAAACTCATACGGGCATTTATGGTCACTGGTCATTTTAGATTCTGAAAAGCATATTCAAGATCAATCTGAATCATTAGATGTATTAATTACAAATATTAGCAATTAACACAATGAAAAAAAAGCAAGTCAAATGGAAAGTCACAAGTATATTATACGATATTATATTATAGTCATTCTCTCTAACATCAAAATTAATTTCTTTCCATTCAAAAAACCCAGCATAACTGAAACCTTTCTGAAGCTAATTATAAAACAATTATTTATCTCAATATTTTAAACAGATCTATAGACAAAACCCCTGTTTATTTTACTGCATTGAATCCTTATTTAGTCTACTGCACTGAAGATGCACTAATAGCACAAGAAAAAATTCTGCTCTAGTCCAGTGGTACTCAAACTTTTTATCTGGCGGGCCTGATGGGCAGTGCCCAGTCAGTTCATGGGATGAATCTGGCCGGTGGTCCCAATCCAGTATCCAGGACGTTTGTAGCAGGGCCCCATCCAGCCATAATGAAGTTGGGGGGTTGGAAGCCCAGCCCCACAGGGGGAAGGGGTGTGGATCAGCCCCGATCTAGCCACGGGGAAGTGGGCAAGGACCCAGCCCCAATCCAGCCATGGAAGTGGGGGTGAGGGAAGAGGGAGGCAGGGTAGGGACCAGCCCCAATCCAGGCATGGGGGTGGGGTAGGCCCCAATCCAGCCATTGCAACTCCCTCTTCATAACTCTGCCAATTAGGAATTAAACTCCTCCCTGAAACAAAATGTGTACTGAAACTTTTCTGCTTTGTGATCTTAAGACAGGGGCACAAAATTATTTTGGCTGGAGGGCCACTTAACAAGTTTCGGCGAGCTGTTAGGGGCTGCATGGGTAGCTCTGCCCCCGGTCACTGTATTGGGACTCGAAGTCCAAGCCCCTAGCCCCCGACCTTTGTTACCAGAAGTCCCTCCCCCCACTCATTCCCCAAATACTCCTTTTGGGAGGGGGTGGGCTACCATCTTAGAACCAGAAAAAAAAAACCCACAGTAAAAGTCAAACACTGACTATAACATATTTTAATGTTATTACAAAAAATATTTTTATCATGATTTGTGTTTACATTGTGTATATAGAGGTGATTACATAATAATTAAAAATAAAGCCTTATGCTTGTGTGTGTGTTGGGGGGGGGGCATAGGGTATGTTGGGGTATATATGTATATGTCGGTGAGGGTTGTGGGGGCAGGGTGTAGGGTGTGAGGGAAGGTGGGGGGTGATGGGACCCCCCACACACGGTGTGCAGGCCCCACTGCCAACAGCAACAGCAGGCAGGGTAGGGGGCAGGATAGGGTGCTCCTGTCTAGCAGGGCACAGCTCTGGCCAGTGCTGTGTGTGGGGGCTGCACATTGTGCATACCTATAGGTCCCATACTTGTGCTGGGAAATGTCTGTGCTGGGTGCTGCAGGGAGCAGAGCTCCCTCTACTCCCAGTCCACAGACCTGCACAGCAGGGGGCAGGAAAGGCAGCCAGCACCAGTGTAGGGCTTCCCCTGCTGTGTGTGTAGAAGCTGCAGGCGTGTGGCATGGAGCAGAGCTGCTGGGCAGGCTGTGCTCCTTTCCTATATGCAGCGCTGGCCAGAGCTGCACTCTGCTGGGCACCAGTGCCGGCACCTGGCATGGGCACCTTGAGTCCCTAACCCGCTGCTGGCAGTAGGGACTGCGCATCTTGTGGAGGAGTGTGAGGGGTCCCCACACCCCCTACCTACACCCTGCGCAACTCACCCCCCTGGGTGTGGGCTCTGTGCTGCTCTCTTTGCTTCCACCCTGCTGCAGCTCCACCGCCCCCACCTGGGCCCCACCCCCACTGCTTCCCTACCTGCTGGGCCCCACCCCCACTGCTTCCCTACCTGCTGCCCACAAAACTGGAAGCCAGGGAAGCCAAGCATGTTCCCATAGGGGCAGCTGCAGCAGGGGCAGCAGCAGCCCCACCTGGAAGCTGCTGCTGGCTGGGCAGGGCCCTTCCACTCACGAGGGTGGGAGAGAGGCACAGTAGAGTATGTTGAGGGGGTGTACACATGGGCGCCTCGCTCCCACCCTCGTGGGTGGAAGGGCTGGGCAGGGTGCAATTTGTTTGGGGGGGGGGGGAAGGTTCCGCGGGCTGAATGACAGTGCCTGGCATGCCGCATCTGGCCCACGGGCCATATTTTGCATGTCTGTCTTAAGAGCATCATACTTTTAATGTCTCAGTTCTTGTAGATTCATGTTCTGAAATTAGCACATCTGAACACATATAAATCACTGATAAGTAATTTAACATAATATGGTAATAGACTAAAGGATGGCCTTTAAAAAAAAAGAAAGAAAGAAAAAAGGCCAAGCTCTTCTATTTCCTATCTCAGTACAATGAGCAAAAAATGAGAACTCATTTACCTGAATGCAGGTTTCAAAAAAGGAGAGTATTTTTGACAACTGTGGTATCTTTTGTGCAAACTTAAGACACACAAAATAATCAGTTTTTGCTGTGCATTTCCCCTATTGCTCTCCGTGAACTACCCTAGCTGCCAGCATTCAGGCAGAAAGTTGGCTGAAAAACAACTCTTTATCAGAATACCCAGAATCTGTGTCATGCAGATAAATATTTCCAATAGGATCAGAGGACTGGAATGGACCTCATGGGGTCATCTAGTCCATCCTCCTGCTTATAGTAAGATACATACTTTGTCATACTGCATTAGAGTTGTGCAGGTATTTTAAAAAATGTAAATAAATGTACCTTATTGAAGAATACATTCACTCATTTTGAATGATGGTTTCTTATTGATTTGTGTGTTCAGCATTTTCATATATCTTGTTTCATTTTGACAAATGAAAATGGCCATTCTTCAAATTAAGCATGTATTTAGGCTTCAGTGATCTGTTTGGCCTTTTCATCAGTAGTTCCTTTTCTTATTTAAATTTAAAAAACCCTACAAAGTTACATACCTGATCTTTAAGGGAGGAAAGAATATATTCCCTTTCAGTGTGTGAGATTCTTCTGTGAGTTTGGGGTGTGTCACTAACCAACCATATCCAGAAGAAGAACCATAATATACCAAGTGCACCTTATATTGAGGAAAAAACAAAACACGCACACTAAATAATACCTTAACTGAGCAGGTAAAGACAGTTTGGACATTTAGAACAAGAATACAGATAACAGACTGGCCTAGAAGGACATTTAAACAGCTGCATTTACACAGAAAAATATTAAATTTCTTACTATAAATTACTATATTCAAGTTACTTTTCAGATAGTCTTGTAATTAGAGTAATCTTATTCCACGGATTAAAGTCATTAATTTAATTTCACACTTCACACTAAAAAAAAAAGTCTGTTTCCTTATATTGGCTGAGCTGAGAAAAATGTGATTAATAACAGTCTTTTGCACAACTGACAGGCAAATTTGGTCATTGAATGCATAACTTACATGGACTCCCACAGGAATTTACCTCATATTGAAAGCAGCAATTTGGCTAAGTAACAAAGCAACAGGGCTAGCACTTTATATTTTTGGAATTCTGTTCAAAAAATTAAAGTGTTTAGCAGATCTGAAGCAAAAGATTTCCTATTTCCTGTGGCTGGTTTTCCTCACTTTTTTCTGATGCATTACTATTTTTCTGAGCAGCATAAAGAATCCCCCAAAATTTCCAGGACTGAAAAATATCATACAGCATTAGTTGCAGGACACAAAAATCACACACCTTGCAATCTTCAGACAAAAAATGTTATTGAAAAGCGCAATGAATACATCACTAAATAAATACGTTTGAAATTAAAAAACACAAATACTTACCGAATATATAGAATACATAAACCCAATTCATGTAGTAGCAAATTAAACCAGACAACGGAAGAGAGACAACTGTTCCGAGCTGTGCACCTAGAAGGAAGACAGTTAATTTTTAAAGTTTGCCAATATATATAAGTGGCACACTGATTAACTGGGGAAAACACACAGTGGTTGGAATTACAAGCAGGATTTTAAGATAACTGCATGGTTTCATTGTACAGAAGCATACAAATGATTTTACCCCACTATACAGCTGCCACCTCAGCTACAATAAATAAAATGAGATGCAGTTGCTTTGACAGACTGATAAATGAAGTTGCAAAAACCCATTGCACCCCAAAATACCAGTGAAAGTAGGTAAGAAACAAACATGAATTTTTGGTGTATTACTTAATTAATAAATTAGTGATCTCTGTGTAAAAATGGGGGTGGTAACTGCAGATTAAATAGTGGCATTCTAAAAAAGGTGACAGTACGTCTGTTTCTGATTTAGTTTTTGGGAAACATCTACTGACTCTTTTTGCTCAGCATTTATTGTTCTTTACTCCTGTCAGCCCTACAGAAGCAGCAAAACAACAAACACAGGAAATGTATCTTATTTCTATTGTCTACTAAGTAGCTCCCAACTGCAGGGCCAATTGATGCTACCAGTTATTTATGGGAAAATCCTATAACTTCAATGGAAGTAGGTAGGGAACGGAAAGATCTGACACACATGGTATCTATAACATGAGAAATATCCCTAGATAACAATCCCCAAGGAAGAAAGAACTACTGTCCACTTTCTGATCTAAAAACGTAGTTTGAAGGGGTGACTGTTAAGAAAAAAATACACAACTATATCACTTTTCATAGATTACATAGACATTAGGGCTGGAAGGGACCTTGGAAGATCATCGAGTCCAGCCCCCTGCCCGAAGGGCAGGAAGTCAGCTGGGGTCATAGGATCCCAGCAAAATAAGCATCCAATTTACTCTTGAAGGTGTTCAATGTAGGTGCTTGAACCACCTCCAATGGCAGGCTATTCCACACCTCAGGGACTCGGACAGTAAAGAAATTCTTCCTTATGTCCAGCCTGAAACAGTCTTGCAGTAATTTATAACCGTTCAACCTCATCATCCCTTGGGGCGCTCTGGTGAACAAACGGTCCCCCAGATACTGGTGGTCACCCCTGATAAACTTATAGGTGGCCATCAGATCACCCCTGAGCCTGTGCTCTTCCAGGCTAAAGAGCCCCATGGCTCTCAGCCTGTTGTCGTATGGTCTGTTTGCCTGACCTCTGATCATGAGCATGGCTCTTCTCTGGACTCT